TACTGCATGAGCATGATCCCGCTTCTGTGCCACGTCCAGAACAGGTTAATACTGCATGATCCCGCCTCTGTGCCACGTCCAGAACAGGCAAATACTGCATGATCCCGTTTCTATGACACGTCCAGAGCAGGCAGATCCACAGGGACAGGAAGTAGATTAGCGGTTATCAGGGGCTGGGGCTTCACCGGGGTGCTAATAGGGTCAAGGTTTCTCTTTGGGGAGATGAAAATGTTCTAAAACTGATGGTGGCGATGCTTGCACAGCTCTGCGAACAAACTGAAAACCACTGAAGTGCACTACAAAAAAATCTAGAATTTAAAAAAAACTTTTGTCTCTAATTTATCTGGTTTAAATAAAACCTCATTTAGGGGAAGAAAAAAACCCAAACCAGCCCGATGACAAATTTCAGTACTGGTGTCACCCAAGTGAAGGGGAACCGAGACGGGGGTGAGGGGGTAAGTCGACCAGCACAGCTGCTGGAAAGGGGAAAGGGGGTGGGGGGGGCGGCGACAGCTATGCAGGAGATGGACTTGCCCCCCGCCTCCGCCCAGCTCGGCCTCACACAGCAGCAGGCCCCTGCCTCCAGGCCTGGCCCTCGCCCCCTCTGCCTGGAACCTGCTGTCTATGTCTCTACATGCTGGCTTCAAGTTTGTGCCCAGATGTCACTCTCAGGGAGCCCTGCCCGCGCCCCCATCTCCCACCCCTTCCTGCTCTGTCTCCCCGGCACCATCACCTTCTGACAGACCACACTGTCCGCCTTGCCCTGGTCCCCTTCACCTAACTGTCTGGCAGGCTCTCAGCCGCTCACTGCTTTGTCTGAAGCACCTGGCCCTGGTGGGGCTCTGAGCGTGTGCAGTGCACCAACAAGCACTGGAGGGCAACGGGCTGGGGGGCAGCTGGGGCAGGTGGCGGGGGTGGAACCCAGGCGGGCTGAGCTCAGCTCAGGGCCGGCTGGGGGGAAGGGCAGGGTGTGGAACCTGGGTGGGGACAGACCAACACAGATGGGATTTGATGGTGAGGAACCCCTCTCCTGCCAGCTTCTATTCACTCAGTGAGATGGAGGTTCTATCTACCCCTATCAGCTAGATCTGAGGCTGGCACACTTTTTCTGAAAAGGGCCAGAGTCAAGATTTCCAGCTTTGCAAGTCATTTGGTTTCTGTTGCGACAACTTGACTGTCCTGTTGCAGCGCAAAACCGGCCACAGACAATGGGGAAATGAATGACTGTGGCTGTGTGCTAATAAAACTTTTTACAGAGACAAGGGGAGGGCCGGATTTGCCTGTGGGCCGTAGTCTGCCGACCCCTGAACTAGATGATTTGTCATACACTTAAGTGACCACGGTCAGGGACCGGTCTCCACGTTCCAGGATGCTTTGCTGACTAGGGAATCGGGTTTGGGTCGGGGGGGGGGGGTGTTGCTGCACACTCATTGACTGTTCAGAGACACGGTCCTGGGGATTTGTAATGGCAGCTCCCACTGCAGTGTATGCTGACTGACCGCCCTCAGGTGAGAAAGCAGATTCCGTCACCCGTACACAAGGGCCCGCCCACTCTGGCCTCCGGGTACAGACTCACCACTTTTTATGAAGGCTCAAGACGCAAGGCACCAGGTCTTCATAGGAGAAGCCAGTGAGATCCCAGAGCTGCGGGGTCCAGGCCTGTGCTGGGGAGGAGAGCGGGCCAGGAATGAAGGGGCTGTTCTAACAGCAGCCAACCCCTCACACTCTAGCAACTCTGCTGGTTCCTTTGTGACGTTTCTGGGAGCTGAGGACTACGACCACTTTACAACTGTTTTGAAAACACCCTCACTCAGATAATGAATGCATGCTCACTGCCAAAAATGTTGGAACCAACTTGAGCTAGAAGAACCAGCTGAATCGACTCTGACTCATGGCAACCCCGTGTGTGTCAGAGTAGAACTGTGCTCCACAGGATTTTCAATGGCTGATTTTCCAGTAGATTGCCCGGCCTTTCTTCCAGGGCGCCTCTGGATGGACTTGAACCCCAATCTTTGGGTTAGCGGCCGAGCCCATTAATCATTTGCACCATCCAGGGACTGCTATTGTTAGATGATGACAATTCAATTCTGGCTCATGGTGACCCCATGTGTGCAGAGTAGACTGTGTTCCATAGGGATTTCAAGCCTGTGACCTTCGGAAGCAGATTGCCAGGCCTTTCTTCCGAGGCACCTCTGGGTAGGTTTGAACCGCCAACCTCTCAGCTGGTAGTTAAGTGCTGATCCATTTGCCCCACTCCGGGACTCCCCTTAAGCTAGGACCTGCTCTAATCTCAGCCTCCAGAAAGAACTGCTGCTGGCTCATTCTGAGGAGCTTCCTTCCCCGCAAGAGATGGACACAGTCCTTTCTGTCTTTGCCCTCCGCCCCCTCGTGTCCTGGGTTCCTTACTCTGCCCGTGTGTCAGCCTGGCCAGGAGTAGGGCGGCGGCCGCCAGGCGGGCAGGGGCGTAGGCGGAGAGGCCAGTGTGCAGCAGGGCAAGCTCACACAGCAGGCTGCACAGGTGCTGGGTCCTGCGTGCCACGGGGACCAGCGCCATCAGGACATCTTTGTAGTCGACAATGGTGGGGATCTGCAGAGCAGGAGGCCGATGCTGGGCTTGTGGTGCTCACAGGGTTCCCCTGCCCGGCCACTCAAGCTCAGGGCGCCAGGGGGTGTGAGGCGTGTGCAGCCCCCATGCAGCCCCACGCCCAAAAGTGCAAAGCCACGCGAAGACTCCTGGCTCCGCAGTCCTGTGCCTCCAGCAGTCAAGGAGAAAGGCCCACTCACCCGGATCTTCCCCTCCAGGGTGGCCATGATCTCGCCCATGCTCCTCACCAGGTCTTCATACTTGTAGGTGTTGTCGGTGAGCCACACGGCCTCTCGGATCGTCAGGATCTCCTTGCTGATGAACCTGGAACATGGGCAAGGGTTCTCAGCGCCGAGCCCGACCTCCCATGTGGCAGGCATGGGGCTTGGGGCACCGCAGAGGCTTCCAGGACAGACGGAGGAACCTCTTCAGGCTTCCGTGACAATAGGAGGCTCACAATGTACCTGTCTGCCCGTAGCAGACCAGCGAACATGAAAACGGGAGACTGTAAGAAGGTGCCAGAAGGGAAAGAGGGATGAGACGAGAGAAGTAGATGAACAGTGCAGAATGGGGTGGGTGAACCAAACGCCCAAACATCTTCCCAGGAGCCCCTGTGAGTGCAGTGATCGCACGGTCCTCTTGGTAACCTCAGAACCGTAATCTGTATGATGCCCTCAGTAACCGACGTGCCCTGCCTGTGACAGCGTCTATCAAGGAAGCATAAATGACTGACGCCAGGAGCCGGACGGCAGAGGGTCTCAGCTCATCTAAGAGGGTGGGGTGCGTGCCCGGGGCTGACTACAGGGACTCTGACTGTCCCCAGAGGTGGTCACCCTGTTCTCTACTTTCCCTCAATGCCAATGCTCAGGAACACACTGGTCCAGCACCTGTCTGAAGGCTACCTTCCCTGGGAGGACAGCCTGGGGCCAGGCCCTCGGCTGTCTGGCCGCGGGGACCCTGCAGCTCCCAAGGAGGGAAGGCTGCGGGGCCGGGATTGGGATTCTAAAGCCAAAAAGGTGAGCCACGAGCGGGGTTCCGAGGGCCTGTGCCTAGGTGCCAGGTGGGCAGCAGGGCGGGTGTGGGTCAGAGTGCCCAGTAATGCGCAGCTGCCCTGGGAGAGTGTGCCTGCCATTGAGCATGGCCCGGCCAGTGAGTGCCACCTGTGGGGAGCTGGGGGAGACATGAGGCCCCCAACTCGAGGGTGAGGGGAACGCTGAAGACGCAGACTTGACAACTCTTTATGTCATCTGAGGACCCCCCCCATCTCCGTGTGTGCCCTCGGGGGCCAGGAGCAGCAAAATGATGCCTCTCCATGCCTGGGGGAGACCACCTCTCAAGTCTCAAGCCCTCATGCCAGGAGCAGCCCCCTGGACATAGGTGTCCCCGTGAAGCGGCCGTCCACACCCAGGGCTGAGTCTGCAACGCCCTCCACTGCCCAGGGCACTCGGCTTCGGCAGTCCTCAAGGTTGTGATCACTAAGGAACAAGCTGGTCACGCAGACCCAGCCGTGAGTGAGGACGGCCTGGTGGGCAGCTCAATCCATAACATCACGTAGGGCCCGGTTACTAAGCCCCACGCTTCGAGCAGGGAGGTAGTAGCTGCTCAACAGGCAAACGAAGGGCGCCCCTCACCGGGTGCAGATGACCATGCAGGCAATGCCCAGCAGCTGGAGCTGGTGCCGGGGCACCGGCCTGCGCCGTAGGTAACGGTCCACGCACTCCACGGTCAGGTGAAGGCACAGGCTTGTGAAGTCCTTCATGGTGGCGACCTCCACCAGCCAGTCGATCAAAATGTACCTGTGGCAAGAGGTCAGACGGCCTGGTAAAGATGGGCAAAGGGCCCCAACAGACGCTGCTCCAAACAAGACATACACACACGATAAAGAGCTCAACATCACTGGTCGTCAAGGAAACGCAAAGCAAGACCACGCGAGACACCCGCTCACACCCATAAGGATGGCTACGATCAGAAAACAGCGAGTGTGGGCAAGGATGTGGAGAAACTGGAACCCTCGTCCATTGCTGGTGGGAAGACAAAATGGTGCAGCTGCCGTGGAAAACCTTGTGGCATTTCCTCAAAAACCTAAACACAGACTCACCATATGACCCAGCAATTCCACCCAAGAGACTTGAAAGCCGAGACTCAGCAGACACACACTAATGCTCACTGCGGCCAAAGCGTGACAACAACCATATGTCCGTCAACAGGTGAACGGATAAAGAAAATCTGGTCTATCCACACCCAAACCAAAACCAAACCCATAGCCATCAAGTCGATTCCGACACATAGCGACCATTTAGGACAGAGCAGAACTGCTGCATAGGGTTTCCAAGGCTGTAAATCGTTACGGAAGCAGCTGGTGGGTTCAAACCTCCGACCTTTCGGTTGGCAACTGAGCGCTTAACTGCTGCACCACCAGGGCTCCTTTCTCTCCGTACAAGGGAGTGTTATTCAGGCATTAAGAGAAACGAAGTCCTGATACACGCTACAACGTGAAAACGTGCTGAGTGAAGTAAGTCCGCCACAAAAGGACGAACCCTGTACAATCTGATGAAATACCCGCAACAGGCGCATGAAAGGAGCCCTGGTGGCACAATGATTAAATGTTCCGCTGCCACCCGAAAGGTAGGTGGTTCGAACCCACTCAGCGGCTCTGTGGGAGAAAGACCAGACGATCTGCTTCCATAATGATTACAGCGAAGAAAACCCTATGGGGCAGTTCTACTCTGTCACGTGGGGTCGCTGTGAGTTGGAATCGACTCAGCGGTACCTCGCAACAATAGCAGGCAAACGTACATAGGAAGAAAGTAGGTTAGAGGCTACCACGGGCTGGCGAGGGGGCATGGGAAGGTATGGTCTCAAAGGTACAGAGTTTCCATTGGAGGGATGACAAGCTTTTAGAACTAGATGGTGGTCGTGGTGGTACACCAACACACTCAAACACGCACCCACGCACGCACGCACGCACGCACACAAATGGGGAGATGCTGGCAGGGCTGGTAAAGGGACATCAGGCGCCCTGTGATGGTCAGTCACCGAGGTTACACAGAAACAAAGGCCTCCTGCCCGCCAGAAGCCCCGGCCTGGATGCCTACCTCATTGTGTCATTGAGCCCCTTCTGCACAGAAAAGATCTGCTGCTTACTGATGGCGCGGGAAGCCTGGAAGAGCTGGCAGACGATCTCGCGGCAAGCCCTCTCCTCTAGGCTGAGCTGGCTCCCGTTTGCACAGGCTTTGGCCAAGGACAGCTGGGGGCAAGAACAGGCAAGTCAGGGTGAGGGAGCCACGTCGTGAGGCTTCCTGTCTCAGAACGCGGGGGTCCCTGGGTGGTGCAAACCCCGGGGGCGCAGCGTTTAAGCGCTTGGTTGCTAACTGAACCCGCCCAGCGGCTCCGAGGGAGGAACGCCCTGGCGATCTGCTCCTGTAAAGATGACAGCCAAGAAAACCCTTTGGGGCCGTTCTAGTCTATCACATGGGGTCACTAGGAGTCAGAACAGATTGAAAGGCACACAGCAGTAGGAGTATCTGTTTTACCACCTGCAAAAACTAGTGTCACTAAAAATATGTATTTTCAGAAGTAACTAGCTATCCACCCCAAGCACACGCAGAGAACATACACTGGCTCGCAGGAGCCGCCTCAAACATCTCGTTCCGCCTTGCTCCACTGGCTAGGAGTGCGGGCGAGCGTAGCTGTCTCCTCTTCGTGAGCCTCTCCTCAGGGCCTCTGGACAACTCACGGCAACCCCATGGGTGTCAGAGTAGAACCGTGCTCCACAGGGTTTTCAGGAAGTAGATCACCAGGCCTTTCTTCTGAGGCACGTCTGGGTGGACTCGAACCTCCAACCTTTTGGTTAGCAGCCAAGTGCCTGAAGCACGTGTACTACCCAGGGACTCCATCTAAGCCAGTGGTTGTTAGGTGCCCTCAAATCAGTCCTAGCTCACGGTGCCCCCATGTGTGCAGAGCAGGACTGCTCCACAGGGTTTTCAAGGCTGTGACCTTTCAGAAGCAGATAGCCAGGCGTTTCTTCCGAGGCACCTCTGGGTAGGTTTGGACCACCAACCCTTCGGCTAGTAGTTGAGCACTGAACCATCTACAGCACCCTGGGACCCCTCCTGGAGGCCTATCAGGGTCTTACTATTTTTACTGATTAGCTGCAGCTTCCAATAGAGCCACATGGCCATATTTCTTGTAAGTCTGTTGACTTTGGGCATAAACATAACAACTTCCGTAACTCGTCGGGCTGGCTACCTATCGCTTTGATGCTTTTGAGTTTAGAGGACTCTCCTCCAAGCCCTCGAGGGGGTGACCAGTCACAAGCTCCCACCTGCCTGGCAAAGGAGGGCTTCCTCTGGTTTGTCTAGACACAACGGCTTGTCTGCAGCCCCAGGGGAGCATGTAAGAGCTCCGTGTCCCCCTGAGAGGGACCAGGTTCACGGCCACAGACATCTCCTGCCTGGAGTTGCCTTCTGCTGACTGTGATTTTCTAGGACAGCCTCTTCCACTAGTTTCCTGCTCTGCGGACTACACTTCATTTTAAAGTATTTGAGCCACACTTTTCTGGCCCAAATTTATCTTTTACACTGCATCTTCCCTAGTTTTGTTTTTGCCATTTCAGCAAAATGCCTTCCCACAAATCATCATGGTGGTCTGGCCGTCTTTCTGGATCTGTTCCTTTTTTCCTACCGAGACCCCGAGGGGTGAGGGAGGTGGAGCTCCCCAGGTTAACAGACCCCGGGGGGTGAGGGAGGTGGAGCTCCCCAGGTTAACAGACCCCGGGGGGGTCTACCCTCTGGGAACAGGAAGCAACAATTGCATTCTACTGTTGAAAAATCAGTCGTGGATTAACTCCAAGAATTAAAAGTTTTGGGTATGTACCTATAAACGTACTTCAAAACGTCTGTTGTCAAGGGATTGCTTTATCTGCCTGGAAAAGTTTTAAAGAACACAGCCCAAAATGCTCAGTGTTTCTCTCTGGGTGATGGGTCTGCAGATGATCCCAATTTTCTCTTGCTCTCCTCCCTTCCCTCTCCCTCTCCTCCTTCCCTTCCTCCTTCTTTCTTTTAATTCCTTCTACCTTCTTGTTCATTACTTTTCTGATGTCTCAAAAACGAGTGACCAGTCAGAACAATAAAGCTATGTCTACTTTGGTGAAAGGAAGAAATCCTGAACAAACGCCCTTCATGGCGTGAAGCCCCACTAGCTCGTCCAATCACAGCCACCCCTCGACACAGCCATCCTGCGCCAGGAGCCTGCCCTACAGACACCTGCATGTGTGCCAAGTGACACGTAAACATTCCTTCTGGCAGAGATGAGAAGCAACCGAGTGTCCAGCCACAGGGGACCGAATAAACGCCATTCTGTCCGTGCAGCGGGAGGCGAGGACAGCGAGGACACGCATGCCGAGGGAGGAAGACCTCCCAGATCCAGGACTCGGTCAAAGGGAAAAGGCAGGTGCAGATCAGGGTGTAAAGGACGCTGCTGCTGTGGGGTGCCATCAAGTCGATTCCGACTCACTGCCACCCCGTGTAACAGAGCAGAACTGCCCAGAGGGTTTTCTCGGCTGTGATCTTTATGGGAGCAGGTCTCCAGGTCTTTCTCCTGAGGAGCCGCTGGTGGATTCAAACCACCAGCCTTTCAGTTAGCAGCCGAGCGCGTAACCACTGCACCACCAGGACTCGTTATAGAGGATGCTACCATTTGCACAGGAAGGGGGGAACCTAAGAACGGTAACTCATGTTGGATGGCATATCCACAACGAAACACTGCAAGGACCGACCAGAAATTCAGAGATGCTTTATATACATTTTACCACAATTGAAAAAAAATAAACTCACAGCCCCCGTGAAGGGGAGGAGGGGCACAGGTAGATGGGGCAGGTGTGGAAGCAGAACGTTCCACATGATAACTTTTAATACTGTTTTGATTCTCCAGCCACGTAAAGGAAGTAATTACTATTATGGAGTGAATTATGTGCCCCCAAAATATGTGTTGAAAATTCTACTATACCTGTGTTTATAGTCCCGTTTGGGAATCGCGTTTCCTCTGTATGCTAGCGAGGCAGTATTAGTGTAAGCTGTGCGTGAGATCAATCTTTTCGGAGATAGAAAAGAGCAGATGAAGCAAGCAGAGGAGGGAGAAGAGATGCCACAGGAGATCTCCCAAGAATCAAGAAACGGAAGCTGAAAAGAGACGAGGACCTTCCCCCAGACCCAACAGAGAGAAAGCCTTCCCCTAGAGCCAGCACCCTGAACCCAGACTTCTAGCCTCCTAAACTGTGAGAAGATAAATTTCTGTTTAAAGCCACCCGCTTGCGGCATTTCCGTTACAGCAGCACTAGATGACGGAGACACCGACTGAGAAGGAAAATTTAATTTAAAAAAATAAAGAGAAAGAGCATCCTGACAGGAAGCTGCGGCCCTGGAGAAAGGGGCTGCCCTCCTTCTGCCCCCACGGCACCCCACCCCCTTGGCGCCGGGCCTCACCTGTGCCTCCCAGCAGCCTTTGGCAGCGTAGTCCCTGAGTTTCCGGAAGCTCTGGAGGCACCTTCCAGGATCGGACATCTGTTGACAGAGAGTCTTCACACACCGTGCCTGGGGGTGGATCTCAGAGCTGGCAGTCATTCTTAATCGTTTTCACCACACAGCCCCAGAGGCCCCTGACTCACTGGATCCCAGGCCCTCGTCCCCCAGATGGAGGTGATCACTCCAGGGCCCGAGAGGTCTGGGAGCAGCGAGAGGTCCTGCCCCTGCTGACAGAACCTCGTCTGAGGCCCATTTAGAGACAGTGCCTGTGCCCGTGGGACCACTCACCTCTGTCCTCTGGTCACGCTCCCAGAGCAGGTACGCGCTGGGCAGGCAGCCCTGGCTGGCGGACTCCGCAAACAGGGCAAGGGCCTGCTGCTGCTTCTCTTCATCCTGGAAGGAGTCCAAGCACAGCACGTTCTTCCCTTGTCCTCCCATCCGTCTGTCTGCTAAGTCATTCCGCAACCCCCTTGGGCCGTGGCTGTGCCAGCCACCAGCTGCTAAGTTGTCCCCGCACTGCCCTATCTTTAGTGAGCGAGCAAATACAATCACAGCAAACGTGGCTGCTTTGATACACTGAGGGCAGGGGTGGCTCAGTGGTGGCACTTTCGCCTTCCATGCGGGAGACCTGGGTTCAATTCCCTGTCAACACACCTCACGTGCAGCCACCACCCGTCTGTCAGTGGAGGCTTGCACGTTGCTATGATGCTGAACAGGTTTCAGCAGAGCTTCCAGACCAAGATGGAGTAGAAAGAAATGCCTGGCAATCTATACTTCTAAAAATCAGCCCCAAGGATTTTCCCTATGAAAACCCTGTGGAGTGCAGCTCTGTTCTGATGCATAAGGGGTCACCACGAGTCAAAGTCAACTCAAGGCAGCTGGTTTTTGGCCTATGGCTTCGAGATTTTGTTCTAATTTCTTCTTGGCTCTCGAGAGAGTGGCACACAGGTGAGCTACGGCTGTGGCATACAGCCTCGTGCTCACCTGAGCCAGGGATGTGGCAGTGGCCCCAAGTCCACGTGCCACAAGCACCCCACTCACCTCGAAGAGGCTCAGCACCCTCCCGAGACAGTGCAGGATGGCTGCGCGATGACCCTAGAGAAAAGGAGGAAGACGGGTGCTGGGGACTGAACTGTGTCCCCCCAGATATGTGCTGTAAACCCTAAACCCCTGTACCTGCGGCTATAACCCCATTTGGGAACAGGACTTTGTTATGTTAATGATACCCTGTCAGTGTAGGGGATATCTTGAACCAGTCACTTCTGAGATACAGACAGCAGATCAGGCGCCACTGGTTAAGCACCAGGCTGCTAACCAAAAGACTGGTGGTTCAGACTCACCTAGCAGCTCTGCGGGAGAAAGCCTATCCATCTGTTTCCGTGAAGACTACAGCCAAGAAAACCTTATGGGGCAGTTCTCCTCTGTCCTACAGGGTTGCTATGAGTTGGAATTGACTTGACGGCACCCAACAATAGCAGGCACAGAGAGGGAAGGACAAACGGAGGGGAAAATACACGCCACGCAAATATCTCCAAGGAACCGAGGAACAAGCTGAAAGAGATAAGGACCTTCCCCAGAGTCGACAGAGAGAGCACCTTCCCAGAGTCGACAGAGAGCACCTTTCCCAGAGTCGACAGACAACCTTCCCCAGAGCTGACAGAGAGACAGCCTTCCCCAGAGTCGACAGACAACCTTCCCCAGAGCTGACAGAGTGACAGCCTTCCCCAGAGTCGACGGAGAGAACGCCTTCCCCAGAGTCGACGGAGAGAACGCCTTCCCCAGAGTCGACAGACAACCTTCCCCAGAGCCGACAGACAACCTTCCCCAGAGCTGACAGAGAGACAGCCTTCCCCAGAGTCGACAGACAACCCTCCCCAGAGTCGGCAGAGTGCCTTTCCCAGAGTCGACAGACAACCTTCCCCAGAGCTGACAGAGTGACAGCCTTCCCCAGAGTCGATAGACAACCTTCCCCAGAGCTGACAGAGAGACAGCCTTCTCCAGAGTCGACAGACAACCTTCCCCAGAGCTGACAGAGAGACAGCCTTCCCCAGAGTCGATAGACAACCTTCCCCAGAGCTGACAGAGAGACAGCCTTCCCCAGAGCCGATAGACAACCTTCCCCAGAGCTGACAGAGAGACAGCCTTCCCCAGAGTCGACAGACAACCCTCCCCAGAGCTGACAGAGAGACAGCCTCCCCCAGAGCCGATAAGACAACCTTCCCCAGAGCTGACAGAGAGACAGCCTTCCCCAGAGTCGACAGACAACCCTCCCCAGAGTCGACAGACAACCCTCCCCAGAGTCGGCAGAGTGCCTTCCCCAGAGTCGACAGACAACCTTCCCCAGAGCTGACAGAGTGACAGCCTTCCCCAGAGTCGATAGACAGCCTTCCCCAGAGCTGACAAAGAGACAGCCTTCCCCAGAGTCGATAGACAACCTTCCCCAGAGCTGACAGAGAGACAGCCTTCCCCAGAGTTGACAGACAACCTCCCCCAGAGCTGACAAGAGACAGCCTTCCCCAGAGTCGACAGAGAGAGCGCCTTCCCCAGAGTCGATGGAGAGACAGCCTTCCCCAGAGTCGACGGAGAGACAGCTTTCCCCAGAGTCGATGGAGAGGCAGCCTTCCCCAGAGTCGACGGAGAGAGCGCCTTCCCCAGAGTGGAGACAACCTTCCCCAGAGCTGACGGAGAGACAGCCTTCCCCAGAGTCGACAGACAGAGCACCCTCCCAGAGTCGATAAAGCGCCTTCCCCAGAGTTGACAGACAGCCTTCCCCAGAGATGACAGAGACAGCCTTCCCCAGAGTTGACAGACAACCTTCCCCAGAGCTGACAGAGAGACAGCCTTCCCCAGAGCTGACAGACAGCCTTCCCCAGAGTCGACAGAGAGAGTGTTCCCCAGAGTCGACAGACAACCTTCCCCAGAGCTGACAGAGAGACAGCCTTCCCCAGAGTTGACAACCTTCCCCAGAGCTGACAGAGAGACAGCCTTCCCCAGAGTCGACGGAGAGGCAGCCTTCCCCTAGAGCTGGAGCCCTGAATTTGGACTTCTAGCCTTCCAACTGTGAGAAAATAAATTTCTGTTCATTAAAGCCACCCACCTGTGGTATTTCTGTTATGGCAGCACTAGAAAACTAAGACTGGGAGGATAGGGAGTGCGGTTCTGTGCAGGAAGAATGCCCAATGGGGCACCCTGCCCAGTCTTGGCTTGCCCGTGGCCCCTGCTGGTGGCCCTGCTGCCCGCCCCACCCCCGAATGCAGAGTGCCCCACCCCCCAAGGCAGAGTGCCAGCCCTAACTCCAGCTCTGACCCCTTGACTGAGCCCTGGCCTGCGCATCCACCCAGAACTCTGCGACTGGCCCCTCGTCTGAGCCCCATCCCCTTGCTCTGCCGCCCCGTCGGCCTCCACTTCTTAGGCTCAACATTAACTTCCACAATGGAGCTGGTGCCCACCTCGCAGCCCCCCATGGGCTCACCCGCCCCAGATGGCAGCGCGACCCCTGGTGCCACACGTCGCTCACCCTCTGCAGCTGGCGCTCGGCGCGGAGGCTCCCGTGAACCACAGCCTTGCAGCAGCTCCCAGAGGCCGACCAGGGCGGGCGGATGAAAAGCCAGATGAAGGGTGTGCCGCCCACGTTCAGGCGCTCGGCCAGGCTGAAGAAGCGTGAGGCCTTCAGCCCGTTCACTTCCGCGCGGGCCTCGTCAGACACGGACACTGCAGAGATGGACAGAAGGTGCCCCCGGGGCACCGGATCTGGAATGTTCTCCAGAGTCATTTCTGAAAGTCTGAAAACCTCAGCCCACTGTAGCTCAAAGTCGCTGGGGTTTTAGGTGAGAATCTCCCTCCAGGGTGAGCGCTTATTCCTTTGTTACAGGCATATGATGGGCAGATCTTTTTATTTTAAATCATGGTAAATATATAACAAAACATTTGCCATTTCAATCATTTTTAAGTGTACAATTCAGTGACATTAATTATGTTCACTATCGTTTTGATCAAAGATTCTATAGAATAATCCTGATGGAAAGGGGGGTAAATAAGAAACAATATAGAATCCAGACTTTCTGGAGCCACTGAGGCTGGATGAACCCCTGAAACTATTACCTCGAGACAATCTTTAAACCTTAAACCAAAAATATCCCCTGAAGTCTTCTTTAAACCAAACAATAGCTTAGCTTAACTAGTAAAGAATGTCTATGTTGATCTACATGGCATCAGATTGATAACAGCAATCCGAAAGGTTAGATGGAACTTACGGGGCAGTGAGTTCATGTTGATGGGGTAGGAACCAGTCGGAAAAGGAGGTGAGCGGTTGCACAACTTGAAAAATGTAATCAGTGTCACTGAATTGATAGCATTTAGAAATTATTGGCATATGTTTTGCTGTATATATTTTCAACAGAAAAATTAGATTACCACCTTGTGCAACCACCACCATTATCCATTTTCAAATTTTTTCATCACCCTTAACAGAAACTCAGTGCCCCCCTAAGCACTGAGGCCCCCTCCCATGTCTCAACTACCTGCCCCTCCTAACCGAGAACGAACTTTGGCTTCTATGCATTTGCCTGCTCTAGAGAATTCATGTAAGTGTTGTTGTTTGCTGTCGAGTCATTTCTGACTCACAGTGACCCCATGTGACAGAGGAGAACTTCCCCATAGGGTTTCCTAGGCTGTACTCTTTACGGGAGCAGATCACCAGGTCTTTTCTCTTGCAGAGCCGCTGGTAGGTTCAATCCCCTGACCTTTCGCTTAGCAGCCGAGTGCTTAATCATTGTGCCCCCTGGGCTCCTTTCACATAAGTGGGGTCATACAATCTTTGTCCTTCACCTGCTTCCCACCTGGAGCTGTGGCTGCCTGTCTCTGACCTCCAGGACACAGGTGCCCCACAGACGGTAGCCGATTTCCCTGTGATGTGTCTGTTCAGAGCCTTTCTTTGCTCTTCAAAAAGGGAAGGGTTTGCTCAGTGAAATAAGCCAGACACACAGGAACAAATGTTGTATAATCCCACTTATATAAAATATCTAATAGGCAAATGCATAGAGACAAAAAGTAGATTAGAAGTTCCCGGGGCCTTGGGGGAGGTGGAGCGGGGGTTCCTGCTAATGGGCCTGAGTTTCTATCTGGGGGCAAGAAAAAAACCTGGACACAGGCAGTGCTGATGGTTATACAACACTGTGGATATACTTGTTGCTGGTGGATGCCATCAAATCGATTCTGACTCATAGAGACCCCATGTGACAGAGTAGAACTGCCCCATAGGGTGTCCATATATGCCACAATGAAAATGCCTGAGGTGGAGGAGGAATAACTAAATTGTGAGTAATAAGACAGTGGAACACCTAAAGGTAGTGAGCTAATGAGCCAGAGTGAAAGGTACCAAGACTTACACATCATTAAAAATATTATTTCAAAAAGCCAATTGTAAAATGACATGTGCAATATATAGTTTTTTCTTTTTTTTACTTAAATTGCAGTTTTATTGCATGCTTAATTTTTTTAAATAAATATAATAGGTCACACAAAGATTGTTTAAATTGGAAATTTGTTAAGGCTCAAAGCTACTATAATGGGAGAACAATGATAATTTCTACTTATATAGCTTTGAGGCGACATAATCACATGATATTTTTTGAAAAACGTACGAACGCAACACAAAGGCTCTCTCTCTCTCATTTCCTTTTTTATTTTAACTCCCCATTCTCCTCCTCCCCCAGCCCCTGGTAACCACTAATCTATTTTAGCAAAGACTGATTCTTATTCTACGGTGTCAATCCCCACATTGGGGAGGCCAGGCCCCCTCCCTGAGAGCACTTACGGCCTTCATTGTAGAGGTAGGCTATGCCCAGCTTCACAGCAGCTTCAAAATTTCCCTTTTCAGCAGCCCTAAGACATTAAGAACATAAACATCATCATATTTTACTCCACAGAGGGTTATGCACCACCATAACACTTGGAGCTGGAATACTTGTTTTCTGAGCAACATTTTTTTTTTCTAGAAAAGTCAAATATCAATTATTCATTATGTGCTGCAACATGGATGAACCCTGAAAACATTATGACGTGTAAGAAGCCAGACCCAAAAGGACCACAAATCGTATGATTCCATTTATACGAAGTGTCCAGCACAGGCAAATCCACAGACAGGAAATAGATTAGTGGTTGCCTAGGGCTTGGGGGAAAATGGAGAGTGACTGCTCATGGGTATGGGGTTTCTTTTTGGGGTGATGAAAATGCTCTGCAATCAGTAGTGATGATTGCACAACTCTGAATATACTAGACACCACTGAATTGTAAATTTAAGTGGGTGAACTGTATGGTATGTGAGTTGTCTTGCAATAAAAAAACATACACATCAATTTTCCAGAGGCAGCTGGAGCGCAGCCAAAGCGATGTGGACGCCCTGTACCACGGGCTCTGGCTGGGTTTCAGGCGGCTCAGGGGGAGGAGTGAACTCTCCATCGAAACCTCACCCGGCACACAAGCCTCGGCGAGAAGGCCCTCCAGAGCTGTGCTTTCTCAGGTTGATAAATGAGGAAGCTCAAGCCAACCCTGGGTCTAAGGGCGGCCTGCCTGGAATATTAGCACACTTGGACTGTTAGCCTAGTTAGGTCGGTGCATTGGGACGGGGGTGGGGCCCTGGCCACAGGTGCCCTCATGCCCCCTCTGGGTCCTGCTACGGCCAGGTAGGTCGGGACCAGCTAGTGAGTGAAACGGAACAGGACATAAATCACTGGGCTCTGACCAAAGGAGAAGCGCCCGGAGCGGCATCTCTGCACACAGTTGACTCATCACGTCTGAGTCACATGGGATGGGTCCCAGGCCCGGTGGGACCCCGTGGAAGTGCCATGGTGGCTAATAAAAGTGCCAGGCCTGTGTGGGCGGCGCGGGTTACAATAATGTGGCCGCTTCTGGAGTCGTGTGACTCGCGGCATGATGTCTACCGTCCTCAGCCGCGCCTTTGGGGGTCAGGCAATGTCATGGCCGAGTCAGGCCACAGAACACGCTCCCAAGCCAGAGGAGGACCCAGGGTGGAGAAGACTGAGCTGCTCTCGGGGCAGGTACCTTTCAAACAGCTCGAGGTTCTTTGGAGAAGGCCACAGCTCCTGGAAGCTGGCAGAGGCCCACACGCTGGCATGGTTGTCCACCAGGTACTTCAGGTGGGAGTGCACCTGCGGAGCAACGGAGGCCAGATGGTAGGTCATCAAGGACCACCTGTAAGACCCACCCCAAGAGGTTCTTGAAGCCAAGACACGAAAGTTGCCTCTTACAGAGTCCCCCAACTCCCTCCCAACCCCAAATAGTAAAAGACCCCAGGCTGTGTATAAAAATAAGTTGCTTTCAACTCAGAAGACAGCCCAGACGTGAGCTTCTCTGCAGCTCTAAAGTGGGGACAGAGGTCCTGCGGCGGGGGGACAACCACGTAGGGAGACAGGAGATGATGACACCTCTGGCAAAGCGTACACCTGCCAGGAGCCGACTCTAAAGCAGGCAAGCAGGGCTCCTCTACCTGGGGTCTTGCTCGAGTGAGTGCGGCATGGAGCCTGGAGGTCACGGGAGCTCGCGGAAGGACTGTCAGGGACAAAGGTGACAACAACCTTGGGTAGAATGTGGAGCCTCCTGCCCTGGGCAGAAGCAGGAAGGGCCCAGGGCAGGGTGTGAGGACAGGCCAGCATTTTAGTCTGTAAACTTCCCACTGCAGAAACACCGCTGGCAGTGGGCGCCGTCAAGTGTCACATGACCGCAACGAAGGTGGCTTTGGGAATCGAGGACATGGGTTTTTGTTGGAGCCTTCCCAAGAGCTCACTGTCTGACCTTGGCTAAGTCACTCAAGGAGCCCCGGTTGTGCAATGATTAAGCGCTCGGCTGCTAACTGAAAGGTTGGCAGTTCAAACCCATCCAGCGGCTCCGTGGGAGAAAAGACCTGGTGATCTGCTTCCATAAAGATTATAGCCAAGAAAAGTCTATGGGACAGTTCTACTCTGTCACGTGGGGTCGTCAGGAGTTGGAATTGACTTGACGGCACCTAATAACAACAAGTCATTCACAGTGAGTGACTCTGATGCTGTGGTTCCAATATCTACAAAACAATTACTAGGTTCAGTGCTGAATGTCACATGAGGTTTGTCCTCAAGTGTATACTTTTATTCTTTTTAATACAATTTTATTTCTTGAGGGATGCATATTCACCACCATCAAAGGGTGCTTTCTCAGTTGAACTAGGCACTGTGGTGAACTATCAGAGTGGACGCTTATAGTGCACATTTAAACTTTTAAACATTTAAACTTTCCTGCCTTTCAAGCAACTGTGACCCACACCAGCCTCGTGCCCTCTGCCCTCCTTTAGGGCCCACGTTTTCCTGTGACATTTAAGAACACGAGGCCTCAGTGCACGATGCCGGGGCCACTTACAGCTCGGACAGCAATGATGTCCCCAACAGGAAGCCACTTGAGGATGTGAAAGAGCACATCTTCGGGGAGACTCAGGATGGTTAGGTTTTGGGGTCTCTTTCTTATTCTTCGCTTTGGAGGATAACAGAAGCACTTGGCACACCTACAGTGGATCACTTAAGAAAAAAATAACCAGGATGGTATAAGCGATGTATCGGAAGGGAGCTGAGATGATGTGAAAAGTTTAATCTGAAGATGATTGAGAGGTTACTGTCCCCTGCCCCACAAGAGAAGAAACTGGCCATATTTCTATTTCCGAGTAAAGGAGTGCTGTTAAATGAATCAGAGAAGACATAATCATTTCTTCAAACAGTCAATGAATGTTTATGGCAAATGGCGGCTATCGCGTCACTTGGCTATGGGGAAACTTGTCATCCAGAACCCAGATGACAAGAGGGGAGGGGAAAACCAGCCAACACTGGTGACCATTTTCCTTGCACTTTACTCAGGGGAGCCCCTCGGACCCTCCTTACTGGGTTTATTTGCTTCTATTTTCACAAGACTAAAAAGCCTCGTGTCCAATCAGTATCTGTGGCCTTTAAGAGTCTGGTTTTTGAGACCAGAATCAGGAGTTTGGGTGTTGCAGAGAAAGGCCGGGACTCGGAAGCAGGCCAGGCAGGTCTGATCCACCACCTGGCTGCACTGCCCCCACTAAGCGGCTGACAGGGGCTATCCAGCCTAAGTCTCCGTGTCCTTGGCTGTAAGATGGGGAGACGACAGCTCCTCGGCAAGGTGTTGGGGGGACCCCAACACAAAACCGAGACCCACACGGGTGCCGTCATTAAAGGGGAGATAGGCCCTCCACCTGCCCACTGCCTGTCTGTGTTTCCTGGATGGCACAACTGCTTCTGTTCTAGCAACTCCTTCCTCATCGTAACCAGATGACCTTACTCGCATCATTTCATAGGAAGGTAGAAACCCTCAGACAGAACCTCAAGATCCTGCCACCCCCCCTACAAACTTACCTGCTTCCCCCTTTCCTTCCCACGTGACCTGGATGGAAGAGACTGCTCTGACCTCTCTATGGGGAATCCATCCAGCTGAGCTGGGTGGATACCCTCCTCTTCCCAGGATTTCTCTCTAGCAATTACCACCCACCCCCGCCCTTTCTCTTTGCTCTTCTACATTGTTGCCAAAGATGCCTTCCAAATTCAAAGCAGATCACCATGGTCTTGGGGACACTCTCTCCTCCCCCCCATGCAAATCCAACTTCTCCTAAAAGATGTGGCAGGTATGAAATAAGGCTGAGCCACAGGCACTGCGCAGCCCTTTGGACTCCCCTGCTATTTCTGTAGCATTCACTCATACCTTGGAAGTACTTAGAGCAGAGCCAAGGGGGTTTAAGAATGCTGTCCCTCTCTCTTCACCGGTGTCTTCCTACCAACAGTTAGGTGTGCGCAAAAGGCAAACGTCCACAGGGCGACTAAGTCCCACAGGCTATATGGATTCTACCAAAGGCTTTCCTCATTCTCTGTGAGGACCCTTGCCAATGCCTCTCAGTTGCCATCATAACGAGCAGTGAGGTCACAGCTCACGGCTACTGAGCCCCGACACGTGCCGGGCTCCGGGGGACGCTTTGACACGGAGGGGTACCACTGCGCTCCCCCGGCCGGAGGACCTGGCTGGAGTCTGGGATGGGTGGCCGGTGCCGGCGCCCCCTGCCCACGCCGAAGCCCGGGCGGACGTCAGCCGTTGCCCAGATCCGCAGGGGAAGGCCGGTGGGTAGAGAGCTGATCCCCGGCGCGCTCGCGCCGACCCCTCGTCCGCGCGGTCCGATGGTCCCCGCCAGGGGTGCCAAACGGGCATTTAAACCGCGGCCGGGCGGGGTGGGCTGGGCTCGGGCCTGGCGCGCCTGGCCGGCCTCCGTGGACACGACCCCTCCGGCCTGGGGCCCGCTCCCGCCGCCCCGCACTCACCGCCGCCGCTGCCCATCGCCGCCGCCCGGCCCGTCGAGCCCGCCTGCGAGCGCCGCGCGGGGACGAAGCCACGCAGGCGCAAACCCCACCCGCCGCCAGCCTCCCGCCCGCCGCCCGCCCTATTTTTTTCAAACGCGCCCGGCGCTCCTATTGGCTGGCCTCGCCCATAGCCCCGCCCACCGGCCCGGGCCTCGCCCGCTCCGGGCGCTCGCGATTGGCAGGGCCGGGACGCGAATTCGAATGCCGAGAGCTGATTGGTGGGGTCTGCGAGGCCGCCCCACCTCCTCGGCCGGGTTTGGGGGTGGTCCTGGAAGAGTGCTCGTCTCCAGTGGGGATTGGGGGCTCGGGGCCATGGAAAGGCTTCTTGTTTGCGCCCGCTGCCTGGGGTCTCCGGTAGCGCGGCGGAGGCCCAGCTGCAGGAGGCCCGGGTTCGCGCCAGCCGGGCCCCGACGAGACTCTTCCGTGGCGCGGACGTGCAGCCAGTGTCCTGGGGCCGGGGCTCCCAGCCCCTGCCCGCGGTTCTGAACCCGGCCACAATGCCGCCGGCAGATGGACCCTGGTTTGGTGGCGCAGCCGCTGGGGAAGAAAGGTCGGCATATATCCTCACTGCAGAGAAAGTGTTGAGAGCAGGGGCTCCGAATCTCGGGGTCTGCTCTCTCTACTAGCCCAACAAGCAGGTTTGGTCCTTCTGGAGAAGCGGGGCTCACCCTGGACCCCCTGCCCTGCCTTAGGCCGCATCGCCCCCTCCGGCCAGAGGCTGTCCCCTGCCCGTCTCCAGTCTCTCCTCACTGCCCCGTGCGAGCTGTTTCGAAAACAGGGACTACTTGCTGCTTCGCTGGCTTGCTGTCCCCCAACGGGGAAAATTCCAAGCTCAGCTCCGGTTATTCAAAGTCTGTTCACCCAGGGCGGTCCTTCACTATTCAGCTCAAATCCCACCTCCTTCACCAGGCGTCAGTCAGGGAAAGGAACGAGGTCTTCTGGGAGAAGTGAGGTGTTAGATGGAGGAGGACAGAATGGAGTCTCCCCACCCCGTCCCCCCATGAGCTGTCACCCGTCCCTCCTGCACGCTCGCTGGACTTCTGCAGAGAACGTGGCCTGTGATAAGGGGTCATGGTGTCACGCCTTACACCAGTCTTGAGCAGGGGACAGCAAACTAGACAATCACAACACAGGGGATACGAGGGGCCTGGTGGTCCCCAAGAGACAAGGGGACGAGGGCCTGAAGTGGTGAGTCTTCCCTGCCTGGCTCAGATGTACAGAGGAAGCAGAGTGGAAAGCACAGAGCTGACAGGCTGGGGGCTGCCGCCCGTGTCCCCCGCCCTGCTAAAAGCGGGGAGTCCAGGCCCCCCGCTGACTTCTCGTCCTTGTTGGTGGCACCTTGGCTCTGTAGGTTACTGTCTCACAGGTGGTTACGTCGTTGTCCTGTGCCGGGTTACTTTGTTACCTGTCTTCCCCAGGGAGGTGCCCGCTCTCCTTCAGGGTTAATTTCTGGCAGCTCTGGGAAGGGACTGAGAAACCAGACCCAGCATTGAGCTCTCACCCCGTCCTGGAGTCTGTAACAGCTCCCTGGTTACTCAAAGCCCTCCTTGCCCTTCAGTCTATCCCGTTACGTCCTAATAATCACTGTTCTGTTTACTCTGAGGCAGTCTTCCTCTTTTTCAGGATGTGGGTGCTCTTGTTCTGGCTGCAGCTGTAGGTCACTCTGTCACACACCCCCACCCCCCACTGGCAGGAGGGGCCTCTAGGGCCAGACCATGTCAACAAGCCACTTTCCCACTGTGCTTCAGGAGGGTGCGAAGACTTGGTGGAACATTCTAGATTGTGAGGAGCTCAGGGAAGTCCTGGGAAGGCACGAGAGAGAAACCCAAGAGTGCAGGGTGCCGAGGGAGGAGTGAGACATGCGGCCTGGATGGACAGGACAGGGCAGGGTGTCCTCCGAGGCTCTTCTGCTCCTTCCGCAGCCAGGTCTCACCGTGGCCACAGGCCCAGGTGGGAGTCAGGGACCCCCGTCTGCAAGAACACACCTGGTCCCACTGGGCCCCCATGCACGGTGGTCTGGCGGGAGCCGCAGCAGGCTATCACCTGGCTGACCGGTCATGGCAGTCTTTATTACAGCAGCCCTGCCTCCCCGCCCTCGGCCTCAGGCATCTGCCCCCTGGCTGGGGGAACAGGGCCAGCGAAGCTCAGGAAGATGTCCTCCAGGGACACCTGGCTGACCGCGTAGTCGTCCAGCATGTACTTCTCCTTGGCTCGCTCCAGAGTCCCAAAAACCTGGAGGAGGGAGGAGGCCGCTGCGGACAAAGCCCGTGGGGAGGATGGGATGATGGGCTTGTCCCTGGGGGGTGACAAGGCCCCCAAAGGGCCAGGCCCTCTCTCAGCTGCCCCCATAGCCCCTCCCAAGAAGTCATCCTACAGATTTCAACTGTCTATCCCTCCGGGAAGGAGCTCAGCTGCTAACCAAAAGGTCAGTGGTTTGTACCCATCAGCCACTCTGTGGGAGAAAGATGTGGTGATCTGCTCCCATACAGATTAAAAACCCATTGCTGTTGAGTTGATTCCAACTCACAGCAACCCTACAGGATGGTACAACTGCCCCATAGGGGTTCCAAAGCTGTGAATCTATGGAAGTCGACTGCCACATCTTTCTCACTCAGAGCGGCTGGTTGGTGGGTTCAAGCCACTGACCTTTCGGTTAGCAGCCGAGTACTTAAACCACTGTGCCACTAGGGCTCCTTCCCATAAACATTACAGCCTTGGGACAGTTCTACTCTGTCCTATAGGTTCTCTATAAGTTGGAACTGATTCGACAGCAACCGGTTTGGTTTTTGGTTTGGGATGGTGCTCCAGCAGGGTCCCCTCTCTGGGCCTGCCTCCCCCTCCATGAATCGAGGGGGCAGAGAAGCTCAAACCCCTTTATGTTCTATGAGATCCGCGTGAACGTTCCCATGGAGACGTCAGAGGAGGAACTGCAGTAGGGCTGAATGAGATTTCCACCCGAAAGAGGCGGACTGAGGCACCCAGGAAGCGGGTGACACTGCAGGTGCTCTGGCCCAGGTGCCCACTCACCTTAGCCCAGCTGAGGCCGTGGCTGGGCAGGTGGTAGTGGACCATCCCCTGGTGCTCGTCCTCCAGGACGCTGCCTGCACAGGGAGAGACCAAGTCCCCGTGAGCACCAGGGTCCAGGATGTGGGACTCAGCAGGGGCACAGGGGAGACCGAGTACCTGTGAACACTGGGGTCCGGGATGTGGGACTCGGCAGGGGCACAGGGGAGACGGAGTCCCCGTGAGCGCTGGGGTCCGGGATGTGGGACTCGGCAGGGGTACAGGGGAGACGGAGTCCCCGTGAGCGCTGGGGTCCGGGATGTGGGACTCGGCAGGGGCACAGGGAGAGACGGAGTCCCCGTGAGCGCTGGGGTCCGGGATGTGGGACTCGGCAGGGG